TGCCTCTAGATAAAGTCCTGCACTTCAGCCAACCATGAGCTGAATATACAATGACGCTCCTACATTTATCATCAAACAACTTCATTGCCATCTTAGTTTGTGTGAGTGCCCTTTGTGGTATTCACACCATGATGAAATTACCCAACAGCACATTTTTTTAATCACTTCTCCAATGTTAAGTAATATATAGTTGCATATCTGTCCGTCCGTCCGTCCGTCCGTCCGTCCGTCCGTCCGTCCATCCATCCATCCATCCATCCATCCATCCATCCATCTATCTATCTATCTATCTATCTATCTATCTATCTGTCATCTGTTTGTCTACTCACGTTCATATATGTGTGTGTCACCTTACCAGTCTTTGCAATGATAATAAAACATGCCTTAGAATGCCCAGAACAATGTCTATCACACAGTAGGCCCTGTATAGAATGAGTAAATTAGTGACATGGGGGGAAAGGTTATGAAGGGCCAGCAAGGCACATTTCCAGGAAGTCTGGTCACCTGATTTCTCTTGCTCCAATTTTGGAAGAAGCTAAATTTGTCTCATAAATTGCATTTTAGCCCAGAGCTCTGGAGAAGGCAGCAGACATGCCCGAGGCCTGAGGCTTATGCCTAGCCAAAGCCCATGTTGGAAAGACATGTGATGAATGGAAAGTGGAGGAGAAAGAAATCATTGAACTCACAGATGAGAACAGCAAGGCTTTTCTATGGCTGTAGAGCTGGGGCCCAGACTAAAGTAACACTCTGCAGAACAGCCTGTGCTGGGCAAGAGAGCAACTTTTATTCTCTAGGACTTGATGTTCCTTTGGTAGTTTGTGTGTGCAGTCGTTCAGGCCCTTCAGGGAGGCAAGAGAAGCTGGTGATTTCATGACTGATCAACAGACTCTCCAGAGCTAATAAAGACATTTGTTTTCTTGCTGAAATCCTTAAAACATGGATTCCCACTTCCTCAAGTTTACTTTGTTTCTCTATCATCCCTTTCTCCCATTCTTTTTCATTATGGAAAAAGCAAAGCTTTGAGTGGCCCCAGTGGAACAATGGACACCGTGGGGAGGGACACAATGATAGTAGGGGACGTTTGCCCAGTGCAGTTGCTCTTTATTTGGGCTATAGCTTTGCTTTGAATCAATCTACACAGATACATTATGCCACATGGGTACTGTATTAGTTGTTTTTCTTATTGCTACAACAAAACACCTGGCAGAAGCCGCTCCAGGAAGGAAGGCTTTATTTCGGCTTACGGTTTGAGCGTGTGCTGTATCATAGCAGTGAAAGCATGGCACAGGAGCATGGAGTGGCTGGTCGCATTGTATCCACAATCAGGAACAGAGGTGAATGCTGACTCATTTCCAGTCTTAGCTCCATTGCTCTTTTTTTATTCAGTCAGGACCCTCGCCCATGATTTGGGGATGCTCACGCTTGGGATGGGTCTTTGTCTGGGGGAGTATGCAAAGACAGGTTCTCTCCCTGTCGCCTTGGCTGTCCTGGAACTTCCTCTGTAGCCCAGGCTGGCCTCAAACCCACAGAGGTCTGCTTGCCTCTGTTTCCCAAATGCTGGAATTAGACGTATGCCCCGCCACTGGCAGGCAGGTCATTGTATTTCAATTAAATTAATCTACAAACTTTTTTACAGACATGCACAGAGGCTTGTGTTCCAGGTGATTCTAGGTCATATCAAGATGATGATACCAAGCATCACAAGTGTCTTAGGTAATATTGGTGTTCTAAAATCCATCCATGGCTTCATATACCCACACCTCATCATATCTGTGCTAGGCAAGATGATTTGTGCCTTTGCCAAGGTCAAGAGCTAGCACACTGTGGTACTGGGATCTGCAGTCAGGTTTATCTTATCCTGAAATCTGTAAGCTTGGCTTTCCTGAAGACTCCAGTGGAAACTTGCCCTGGTGGCATTTATGATGTCCCTGCTGGTGAAAAATGTCCTCGTTGGTAATTTCAGAGTACAGGTCTCCACCTGGCTGGTCCCAAGACACAGAAACATCTTGAAGTTTTAACAAAAGCATCTAGTTTAGAGATTGAAGGGACCTTTGAGACTCTTAATTCATTCCCTTTTCCACCTCAACTCATTTTATAGATAATGAAACTCAGACTAGAAAATTTAGAGACTGGTTCAAGGTCAGAGCCAATGCTAACAGCAGGCTCAGGAGTCTTCTGGTCCAGCACACTGTCCATTTTACCTACAGTAACAGTTAGAACTCAGTTTGACTATAGCAGACACCCCAAAATGGTGACGCCACAGAGTCAGACTATGATCTGATAAAAATAAATGAGAAACAAGCAAATGAGGTACGATGCAAATCAGCAGCAATAAGGAAGACCACTCTGATGTAAAATAAATCACAAGTTATGATAGCTTCACAGGGTGAGGGACCAATCATGTCATGGTGTCATGGGTGGCTTCCTTTCCAAGCTCATTTCATGGTCCAAGATGGCTTCTGAAACTACAATCATTGAACCCAATAGCTGCAAGGAGAAGGTGCTTTTTATTAAGTCTCTTATGAAGACTTCACATACTACATCTATGTCATTGGCCAGATTTTAGTCTATGACCACACTAGTCAAATTAGAGGCTGGAAAATGTCAACTCTTTGTATCTAGGTACTTAGTTAAATGTCAGGATTATGAGATTTAAGATTAAGAAAACATAATAGAAGCTATTGGGAAGAACCAGGAGGTGTTTCTCTAGCTCACTGGCCACCACACTGGTTGCCAACACCATACTTCCTCATCTGCAACCATGGAAATGCCCACCCAATAGGGTGATTAAAGCGCCAGAAAACCAATGTTTCATGGCTTCCTCTTCTCTGAAGAAAGGAATGAGGTATGAGGTCTGGAGGGGTCTATGTTATGGGATTTTTTTTTAACTAATGAGTTTAGTTAAGATTACTAGAAGGCCCATGGTGAGTGTTATTTGCAAGACTGTGGGCATCTTGCCTGTGGCTACACTACTGAAGAAAATGTCTCCTGCACTCTAGAAACCACTGTACCTATATCCCCAGGGAGATGTGGGCCTCATGAGCCCATCCCCACTCCGTGACAGGATATTGATGGACTCACTATTGTGTACGTAGAGTGGCTAACTGTTGCTAGTTCAAGAGCACAATCTCCAAATCACGGCCTGATTACAGGGTTTCACAACTGTTATCATTGCTGTGATGAGACACCATGATCAAAGAAACTTGGGGAGGAAAGGGTTTATTTAGCTTATTCTTCCACATCACTGTTCATCATTGAAGAAGTCAGGGCAGGAACTCAAGCAGGGCTGGAACCTGGATGCAGGAGCTGATTCAGAGACCTTGGAAGAATGCTGCTTACTGGCTTGCTCTCCATGGCATGCTTATCTTGCTTTCTTACAGATTCCAGGACCATCATCTCAGGGGTGGCTCCACCTATAATATACTGGGCCCTCCTGTTGTGGGATATTTGTACATATGAAGAGGTATTGCTCTGATCAATGTAATAAATAGCTGAATTGCCAATAGCTAGGCAGGAGAGATAGGAAGAGGATAATCGAGTAGACATCATGGAGATTCAGAGTGGAAGAGAGGTAAAAACCATGTGGTAGAACATAGATTAGTAAAAATATGGATTAATTTAAGTTATAAGAGCTAAGGGGCAAGTCTAAGTAAGGCTGAGCTTTCCTAATTAATAATAAGTCTTCACGTCATTATTTGGGAGTTGGCAGCTCAAAGAAAAGTCTGTTTACACCCTCCCACATCAATCTAATTAAGAAGTGCTCTGCAGGCTTCTTAGCTTGATCTTATGGAGGCATTTTCTTAATTGAGGCTCCCTCCTCTCTGATGACTTAAGCTTGTGTCAAGTTGACCTGAAGCTAGCCAGCACAACACTTCACCCCTTTCTCTATTTCTTACTTCAGCCTTGTCTTTGACAATGTTTCCTGAACTTTGTTGAGAATGACACAGATCTCAGGACTTTTAAATAGTCTCTACATAGCATATGTGTATTGGTCATAGCTCTGTAAAGGAACAGAGCTACTAAAATGAACATATACATTAAAAGTGGGTTTTTAGATTGGCTTTCAGATGCCATGCTGGTGACTCAAAATTATGGCTATCTCATACTGAGAGGCCAAAAAATCCAATAGTGGTTCAGTCCATGAGGCTGGGTGTCTCAGAATTCTCAGTCTGATTCTAGAGGCCTGAGAGAGACCTGGAGGATTCCAGGAGAGCCAGTGGTTTTCAATATAGATTGGAATCCCAAGGAAGTGGGTTCTAGTATCAGTAAAGGATTTGATGAACTTGCCAGTGACAGTAGGAGCAAGCATGCCTTTTTTTTCCTGGACTTCTGGCAGGAAGTGATGCTCAGATTTAGTGTGGGTCTTCCTGTCTCAAATGATATGACCAAGAAAATCCTCACGAGATTTTTCTGGTTGGTTTCAGATGCAGATCACCTGACAACTGAAACTAGCTATCACAGTAGGGTCTTTAGTTCTAGTATATTCTGGTCCATTTCTGAGACATTGTTGGTATAACTCTGGTGGTGTGGTGTATTTTGCACAGTATGATTGTAGAGGGTTCATAGACAAACAGATATGATATGTACACATGTACTGATGATCTATGTATATGTGTGTTTTTAAAAAGGGGGGAATGGAAACCTCATGTTTTGTGTCCCAGTACTTTTCTAGTTCTACCCTAGGTTGAAAAAGCAAGAAACACTAATTTGGCTCCCAGCCAATGCTTCCAGTCCTGTGGAACCATGCTGCAGTTTTGAATGCCTTCTGGCAGTTAAGGGCTTGGAAGAGCAGAAACAGAATGTGAGCTCTGAGGATCTGCATAGAGATGGCTGTCTCCAGCCACCTGCTCTTTCCAGATGAAAAGCCCCAGGCCTAGAGATAGCACGGGTCTTCTCAGCATGTGCAGGTCCCACACTGGATCCTGTCCTTCTAAGGCTATTATGCTTCTCTGAAGTACAGACATTGTATGGTTCTCTGTCTATTGAACTCATGTTACTATTGTTTCAGAACCTCTGTGATGGTCAAAGAAGCATGCAAGGCTCCAGGGGAAAGAGGATAAAGGGATGAATAAGGTACAGCCCCTCATCCTTAACTGATTCAGTTTAGGGAGGAATACAAATGTATCAGCATCGAGTGAGAAGACGAGGCAGAAGGCATCAAGGGTCACACGACATGCATGAGGGGACCTGCTGTATTGAAGAAGAGAGAAACCAAGGAAAGAGGCAGTATAGTTTGGAAGAAAGCATATATAGGAGTTTGAGAGTCTTCTTGTGAATACCTCTTTGCCTTGGGCAACACGACTGGGATTTGAGAAGGCTTGGTAGAAGGATCTCATCTGCCTCCAGGGAGACCCGTAAGGCCTGCTAACTTGGACATTATCCATGCTGTTTGGCCATTATCATGGTTGAGATTAACAAGCTAGTGCTGAGGAAAAGTCAGGGAAGGGGAGTGGGGAAGTGGGGGATGGATTCTCAAAGTCAATGAGTCAGCATCTCAGCAGGTAGCACTCCACCACCCAGGCCTTTATTTCTAGCTCCCTAGGTAATTCTGAGCATCAGCTGGGCGTTTTAGAGGTGAAGAAGTGGATGCTATAGGAGGGTCATGGGGTTGCTGGCTGAACTCTGCTGTTGAAGTTTCTGAGGGATGGTCACACATATGACTCATACTGTACAGACGATGAGATCTGGAGAAGGAGGAACACAGGCCCTGCAGCTTGCTGGCGATGGCATCCTCATACTTCAAGCCTGCACCTCTTATCCAGGGAAGACCCAGCTCCATTCAGCACATCATTCCTGTTGTTGCTTTCCATAGACACTATGGAGAAAAGACTCACTCTACCTGTGGCTGCTTCCCTCACTGGTAAGCAGGGAGGTCCAGGCGTTTTGAAGAGTATCCATTAGGAAGCTGATAACACACAGTGCTACTTGGGTTTCTTCTTGCTTTGTATCAAACACATGGGGCTGGGATGCAGGGATAAAATGGTGATGGTAGAAAGGATGTTCCCAGTCTGACATCTATTCTTGGGGATGGGTGTGTGAGCAGGTGGGCAGGACTCAACAACTAATGACTTAAGGGTTGGAAGGAAGGGCTTTGGAGAATCATGCCAGTAGGTGCCAGTTGGATGTGTTCAAGACGAGTCTAGATGGAAGGGCAGCCAGCAGCCAACCTGCCTCATTTCTCTTTGGTTTCTGAGCTACAGTTAAGGCATTGCTTGTTACTTCAGTCCTTGCCTTGAGCTAGACTTATGTATTTTTTGTGTACAATGCCTGAGACTCTATACTGCTTCTGGAAAAAAATGTCCGTGTTTAATGTCCTATATAATGTATCTGGGCGTGGGAAGATGACTCAATTAGTAAGGCGCTTGCCATGCAAGCAAGAGGACCCGAGTTTGGACTCCCAGTATTCACATAATAAATCAGATACAGAGGCATATGCCTGCAATTCCAGAGCTGGGGAGACAAGTCAGTGTAGCTGAATTGGTGAGCTCTAGATTCAGTGAGAGACCCTGTTTCAGAAAATAAGATGGGAAAACCAATATGGGGACTTGAATAAGAATAGCCCCCAAAGACACATGTATTTGAATGTTTAGTCATCAAGGGATGGCATTATTTGAAATGATTAGAAGGATTAGGAGGTATGGCATTGTTGGAGTAGGTGTGGCTTTGTTGGAGAAAGTGTGTCATTGGGGATGGGCTATGAGATTTTAAAAGCCCATATGTGGCTAAGCATGTCTATCTCTCCCTCTTTCTGCTGGTGGATGAAGATGTAACTCTCCTCAATATCTCACTCAGAACCAAGCATGCAACAGGCCCTTGATAAACATTTGTTGTCACAGAGATCAGCTTGCTGATGGGAGAAACCCTTGACTGGTCAGTCCTATGAGAGGCAGGTTCTTATCTAGCTCTGTTCCAATACTCTGGTGATCATGGGGAAGTCACTTTTTTCTGTCTGTCATCTCTACAATGATGACAGACAGGACAGTACTGCCATTGTGTTGTTTCTTAGCCTTCCAAGTTTCTCAGGTGGGATGATCAATTTGGCTTTAGATCTGTCATTTATGAGGGTTACCACTATGGAAATCTGTGCCTCCTGGGAAATATGGGAGGCATGTCATGCTTTCAGAAGTCTTGACTCACTAGGCATTCTGTTTTGTTCATAGGAGGGATAACTTCCATTTTCTTTGGCTCAACAGAACAGAAGGTCTATTCAGAGATAATTGGAGGCATCACCAGCCCCAACTCATCCAGAGTTAGTACACATGGACCCCAGGACTACAGGTGAAAGAAGGAAAAGGTACTGATGTAGGGAAGGAGGTGTCTCATTTATGGGAGGGGGTGTGTGTGGATTAGATCTGGCCTTGTGTGGACAGAGGGACTAGGTTAGAGATCTCAGGAGGACTTGATGACTTCCAAGGTCAACCATTGTGTGAGCTTGGGGATAGAGAAACTTCTTTGCTGGCTTCCCCACAGCTTGGATAGTGGTGTTTATGAGACTGCTGATTTCCAGTGAACACTTGCTGGCAGTCAGTCCTGGCCACCGGGGAGGTTCCAGAAAGATCTAGAATATTGAGGAGAAGCCCACCTGGTTGGCAACTCACTCTGAGCATCCTACAGCATTCCCCAGGCCTCGCTACAGAGGGTCTGGAGGACCCAGCTGTCCCTTCCAAGATGTTCCATCCTGCTTTCCCCTTTCCCCACCAGTGTAGGGCTCATCCTCTCTTGGCTTTGTGGCTCGGGAGGGACCCAGCCCCAATCATCTCAGCTCCGAGAGAGAAGGAAGAACATCTGTTAACACAAATGCTTCTCTAATTTCTTTTTAAATCTCACTCAGCATCTGCGTTAAACAAGGCTGATCGGCTTGTACAATATTTAATTTTGGAACCATTTCAAAAGGCGCTTGTGAGAGGGGGGCAACAGGGAGATCAGCAGCCTCCCAAATCTTTAATAGCGCACTGGTTAGGAGCTTCCGCTGGGCTCCATCCTAATCACGCAGAGGAGAAGAAGCAGAGGCAGAATTTCTTAATAACAGATACCTTCGCAGCACCTCATTAAATCACTGCATTTGAGACACACAGCAGGACACTCGGGTGAATAAATAGTGCAATCTCCCAGTCTGAAGCATTCTCACATTTGAGTTATTTCTCCTGCATGTGATCAGTTCTTTTTCTTTCTATTTTTTTTAATTCTACAGATGATTTTAGCTGATGAATTCAATTAACTAAGATGTAAGAGGCCTGGTTGTAAAGAATCTTTCTCTTCTCTTCCCTTTCCATGCCTTCCTCCCTGCACTCCGTAGCCATAGACCCTTACCTGGGGGCACTGCTACAATGCTGCCCTCAACCCTACTAAATGGAAGGTGGAAGAGGGAGGGATGAAGAGAAGGAGGGAGAGGGACAGAGAGGAGCGGTATGTAGGGAGGGATCTGCAGGTTGCTGTGAAAATAAGACCTTCCCTCCAGATGCTATTGGGAGGGCAGCTGATGGATCTGGGTGGGAAAAGCAAGCAGACACAATAGTGTAGAAGAAGCAGGTCCCTGGCACTTGTAGATGCAGATCCCTTACTGCCCGCAGCCACACCCATCTCAGTTGGATCTGCAGCAGAGCAAGGCAGCAGAAGCAATTATCAATTTTTTGAGATGCACCTGCATGCTTCCTGACTACCTACTGTGCACCAGTCACTGGGAAATATGCCGAGTTAATGCTCCCATAAAAAAAGCTAAATCAATACTCATGTATGGAATCCTCAAAAACATAATAATAAAGAAGCTGGAGATAGAATTGCCTCAATAGTTAGGAGCACTCACTGCTCTTGTAGAGGACCGTGATTTGGTCCCCAACACCCACATGGTGCCTCACAACTGTTTCTAATGCTGTTTCCAAGGGATCCTCTTCTGACCTCTTGGGATCCTACCCGCATGTGATGTACAGACATACACTCACACACACACACATACACATACAAAATACAAACAAAATCTAAACCAAAACGTCTATTCTTGGCCTTACACTCTGGGTAAATGCACCAACATATTTGCAACCGTGCATCAAGTTCTGTTGAAGAGGAAACAAGCCGGACTGTGTGCAGTTCAAAGACATCTTTTGTTTGTCCCCAGTGCAGCTGGCTGCACATTCTTGCTTTGTTTGTTTGTAGAATCAGATACTGTAATGCAGTACTTTGGAAACTGTGGTTTACAACCTGTAGTGGGTCTTGAAAGTAGGTTAGAAGAGACCCTAAGTTGCCCATGCTTAAAATTTGATTTGGGGAAATATCTATTTTTCAAGTACTTAATTAGCGTATTTTTTCAAGTCTCAATACATGGGCAGTTATTTTTTCTTACTTGCATAAATAAATACCACTTGGGGGAAAAGTGGAATGGAATAGGTAAGGCAGGATAGAATGGGAGGGGATACGACAGAGGAGACTATGAGACATAGGAAGAGACGAGAAGCAGAGAAGAAGGTAGATAGATAGGAGGAGAGGGGAGGGCGTGGGAGAGCAGAAAGAGAAGAGGAGAAAATGGAGGTGGGGAGGGAGAGAAGAGGAGGAAGGGAAAGGAGGGCAGGGGATAGGAGGTGAGAGAAGAGGGGGCCACCAGCTTACACTGCAAACTGTTAGTGTCTTACAGTTTTGCATATTGGAGTGTGATGTAAAATGCATCTCCCTCCGTAGGTTCCACTTTGGGTGCAGAGGCACATAGCTTCGTGCCTCCACAGAGCATCCCTATGCATACTCTTCACATTGGTGAAGAGTGCAGCACAGCTTTGAGCCTGCATGCTGAGTCTGAGGCCCTCCCAGCCACGTCTCCATGCAACCTTGGTGTTAGCATTCAGTGGCTGTCATGTGACCCCAAGTAGCTGTTGCTGTCCCTGGGGTCTGCAGATGGCAGACCCTGCATTCCTCCAGTTCTGACTTTCCCCAACTGTTTTGATTTTAGCTTTCTCTTTAGTGAGCTCATCACATTCTTCCAACAATGAATTTCTTACCAGTTACAATTGCTTTCTTTGCTGGAAACCAAGAACTCAGACTTCTGAGCTGAGAAATCAGGAGGCTTCATATAAAACCTTGAACCTCTAGTTTCCGTGGCAGAGGGGAATGAAAGCTCTAGTCATAGGGCTATTTCCCCAGGGAAAGCCCAAGATGTCTGAGAATTTCCTGTGCCTGCCAAAGCTTTTCTGGCAAACTGGGTGCCTTGGAACAACAGAAACAATGAAACAAAACCAGAAATGGATTCCCTCTTAGGTCTACAGGCCCCAAGTCCAAACTCTACTAGGGTCCCTTGCTTCTTCTGGGCTCTCAGGGAAAGTGTGCCACTCCCTGCTCTCATCCTACTTCCAGAGACTCCCAGCATACCTTGGCTTGTGGCCACATCACTTCAGTCTTCAGCCTTCTCTTCTGTGTGTCCACATTAACCCTTCCTTACCTCTCCTGTGAGGTACTGAGATGATCTTTGAGGCCGCACTGATAGCCAAGGTGACCCATCATCTCAGGATCCTTCACCCAAGGGCATCTCAGTTCTAGATATTGGAGATGAGTTTCCCAAGCTCACTCAGTCTGCTGCCTCCATTATTACAGCCTCCAGGGGCTACTGCTGTGGGCCTTCCTGACCTTCATTTAGGGAACACCAGCTCTAGGCCCAGGCAGTGGGTGAGGTTGTTGTGCAAAGCTAATTCTCCACCCAGGCAGCCCTGTGTCCCTGAACACGGCAGCCTTTCAGGAACAGGAGGTGGAGAAGGCTTCACAGTCTGGTAGAATTCCCTAGGGGGACTTCTGGGCTTTAGATGAGCAGGGAGGGGGTAGGTTGAGGACCAGTTGCTTCTTGGTATGTACTGTCATATGTCACAGTAATGGCTGACTCAGCAGAGGAAAAAATAATAATAAGACAATCAACACTTGTCCTAATATGAAGTTCTCATATTATTGGGTGGGGATGGGGAGGGGGGCAAAATCATTCAGTCTAAGTCAGATCTCGTATTCAGGATTGAGAGAAGTAGCCCAGGAGGTGGGAATATAAATAATAGGGGGGAGTGGGTGGATGAAGAAACTTCTCTGAGTGCCACCTGACATTTGAGATTTAATCCAGGCCCTAAAAGAAGTTAGAGAGGGATCCGTATGTGTTTTTCTGGATGGGACTGAACATGCACAAAGACCCCCGAGGCCATTGAAAGCTCTTTGCATTCAGGGAGTAACCAGTACGTCAGCATAGTTGGGGAGGGGTAGCCTAATGGGCAAGTTGCAAAGGACAAGGTCTCAGGTGCTGTTATAGTCTTGCTAGGGACTCAGTAAGAGTATAGGGTCAAGTACATGCTCCTGAAGAAGTCTTTTAAGCAGAGGTTTATAAATAGAGATGAGGAAGAGGTTTCCTTTTGACTAATCTCTGAGTGAAGCTCGGTGTTTTAGTTATGAGTACAGTCTCTCTCCACAACATCTAACCCACAGCAATTTCGTGAGCAACTGTGACTTTGTCACCAATAGAAATCACGGGTATTTTTACACAGTGTCACAGTTATTAAGGTTATCTTGAAATATTGTTTTCTCTCTGCACTACTTCAAAATTATGTAATTAGACCTGCCACCAGTACTTATTATTTAATGTGTTAATAAAAAGCTCATATATTACTATATCTCAAATTAGTTTTTAAAAAATATTTTCATAACTGCACTTCAATAAAATTTATTTCCTATGTAATCCTATGTGTTTTATTTTATACCTTGAGAGGCAGTATTCTGGGCAGGAGTCCAAAGGCTTCTGCAGGCTGCCCAAGGAGTCTGTGGTGCATGCCCTAGCGAAGGCCTTTGCCTAAAGCCTCTGGAGAACTGTCCTGCTTCACCTGTTGGAGCATCTTCAGCCACCCCTGGACCCTATCCCAGTGTCTCTGTATATCACTGGTGCTGAGCCGCAGAGGGCTCCTCCAGACAGCAAACTCTGTGGCCACGAGCTTTTGCAAGTGTTGGCGCCTCTGCCTCCCACACCCCTGCCCTTTCCTGAGTTCCCTAATGTCTCCGCTTTGCTGTCTGTTCCTCCAGGAAACCTCCCTGACCACCTCCCTGTACGGTGGGACTTAACAGTGCTCAGGTGAACCCTGGGCTCGTCCGCCTTCCCCACCGACTGGAGTGTGACCAAGGTCAGAGTCCGCCGTGCTCAGTCCAAGTGCCTGGATGAAACAGATAGTTCCAGTTGTCACAAAGTTTTTCTGGAGTGTGTCACCTCCCTGGAACCTACGACAGCTTCAGCGTGGAGTTGGGGTTAGTTACATCGTGTAAACGAAGAAGGATCAGGCAGGGGCAGAAGGACTTGGAGACTGGGCACCAGGGAGAGCCCTCTTGGAAGCCAGGACACTAGGAAGCCGAGGCTACACAGAGGGCAGGTGGGGCCAGTGGGCATGCAGAGTAGGTATGACCTTGTTGACAGGAACGGAGATGCTCAAAAGGAACAAGTGTGCCCTGTTAGACCATTGAGACTAGATCCCACACTGGAATTTCACCATATGGAAGAAGTCAGAGGCTGGGACCCTGGGAAGAGATGTCATAGATCTGACACCTTACAGGACAGAATGGAGCTGAGGTAGTGATGGGTTAGTGACAGGCAGGACCACTCTTTGACCAGAACTGCTGATCTATGTGTATTCCTTGCCTTTTGTTTAAACCTGTACCTCATATTAGAACCTTGGCGATGGTGGTGGTGATGTGTGTGTGTCTGTCTGTGTGTGTGTGTGTGTGTGTGTGTGTGTGTGTCTGTCTGTCTGTGGTCTGAATCTCTTTGTTCCTCTTCCCAGTGTGACCACACCAAATAAATCTTTTTATTTATTTTTATTTTTTGCATTTCACTACTTCTTGTATCTTTAATTGGCCTCCTGGGTATAGGTAGCCAAGCCTGATTTCTTGGGGCTTCCAGAACCCAGGCTGTGATTCAAACAACTCTAGTTATATTAAGGGAGGGCAGAATGGAGAACTCCAACTATCTCTCCATGCTCTCTTAGACCCTGTGCTCCACTCTGGACCGGCCAGAAGGACGGTGCTCTGTCCAGGCCAGCTTCTTCTCCAGAGAGCTCACTCATCTTTCCGAGTCCCCATTGCAGATGCCAGCCTTTTATTTTTTTAAAGTCTGTAGTCCTGTGTGGCACTGAGGCCAGTTATTTGACTTCTCTGATCTCAGTTTCTTCATCTGCTGCCATAAAAAAGCATGCCACGGAAGTCAAATGGGTTATTAGCATTAAGAGCCTTGTGCCTGGGAGGTGCCGGCCACTGCTTTTTCTTGTCCCCTCCCCAGGTGTCCCGAGAGGACCGCCAACTGGCAGGTGTGATTAGAGCCCTGCTCATGTCTCTGTTAACATGGCACATCTGTAATCACCTCTTCTTTAGGCCGTTCCGTCCCCAGGCACACGTGCTTTCTTGCTGTTCTGCTGGCCTTCCCCTTGCTAAGTCCCCCGTGCCTCTCTGCCATAAATCTTTCAGCATCTTCTTCATAAGCAATAAGGCTGCAGGCCAGGCCTGGCATCCATATCAAAGGGTTTCTCAGGAGCTGAAGATGAAGCTATGGTCTTCAGAGGCAGCAAAGCGGCCTCTCCATTTGCTTGTGCCTTTGGAGGCCAAGGCCTGGGGCCACCTGTCTTTATCTGGGTTGGCTCTCTGGGCAAAGAGTTAATGAGAACAAGTGGGCTTTCTCTACACAGTCTGAGAAGGGGGCCTAGGATGGAGGCTCGGTTTGCACAGAGTACCATGGGGGTAGGCATTTGCCCACCTCAGTTGCTCCCTGCTCTGCATGAGAGGTGCCGCTAGGCCCCATTTCACAGACTACAAGGCTGAGGCTCAGGAGGACAGAGGGGTTTCTTCAGGTCCCAGAGCTTGTGAGGAGCACAGCTGGGAGTCAACTCGGTGGTGGTCTGCCTCCAAAGCCTTCATTCTTCTCACCAAGGCCCTCAGTCTGCACAACTCCTCACCCCAGTCAGCGAGAAGGGACAGGAAGTAGCACACCCTGTGGCAGGTATGCAAAGACTTGCAGGGTGGCATGTATTCCAGGTTGCACATGAGAGACAGAGAAAGGATTCCAGGAAGGCTGCTTCAAGGGCATAAGTGAGGGATGATGGGAGACCCAAGCATAGCGGTCCAGGATCAGGGAGGCCACTAGGGCACTAACTGGGACATTAGCATAAAACTAGCACCTGCTCTCTGACTGTTCAAGATGCTGTTGATGTCTGGTGTGCCCAGAGCTTCAGGGAAGAAACCGCACGTGTGTGTGTGTGTGTGTGTGTGTGTGTGTGTGTGTGTGTGTGTGTGTGCTTTTCATAGAAGCCTGGGAAAGAGCCTTGGTACATTTGACTGGAAATGTGGTTGTCAGTCCTTATCAGTGTGCTCACTCTCCTCAGCTCCCCCGAATCCTTCATCTTCTTATCCCATGAGACGCTCAGGTCTCTGTAGGCTTCTTATTGGTTTGTATCCCATCAGGCCCTCGGTCAGCCTGAACTCTGGAGCCAGACTCTACCACACTCACTTCAGGCTGTGGCTACTCAGTTGCTTGAATCACTGTGCCAGTGTCACAGCCTCTGTCCTGTGCCCTCCCGTGTGCACTGGGCTCTAGCCCTCTGGCCTCGTCTGTTCCTGGTCTTTCTGTCGCTACTTTTGCTCTGCCTGTCTTTCTCCTGGAACACTTTCCCTGGTTTCTTATGTGCCCACCTCCTTCTCCTTTTCTTCTCCAGAGCTCCACGTAGGCATCCCTGAAAGAAATGCTGCCTCTTCCTGCACCCTGGCTCTGTGGCCCCACAAGCTGTTGCATTTCTTCTCTGGTCTCCTCTTTGAGTATGCGTACATGCCTTAGACACGATGGATCCAACATTCTCCTATTGAATGGTGCTGTGGAGCCAGGTCTTGTGGTGCAGGCCTGTCATGCTAGTTATCCAGGAGGCTGAGGCAGGAAAATGGCAAGTTCAAGGCCTGCTTGAGATACACAGCAAGTTCAAGACCAGCCTGGGTGAAATTACAAGACCCTGTCTCAAAATAAATTGTAAAAATTAATAAGTAACTAAATAATAGGAAACTGTAAAGGATATAGCTCTGTCATAGAATGCTTGCTTAGCAAGAATGAGGCTCAAACTTCTGTTCCTGGAAGCATGCACACATGTGAACTTACATACACATGCACATAGAAACACACACACACAGATATATACACATGGCACATACACACATGTACATACATGCACACACCTATGAACATGTACACATGAGCACTCATGCACATACCCCCATACTTACAGTCACAAAAAGCATACATGTGCACCCACTCATGAAGGACCCACACACACACACACATGGACATATATACACAAAGTGAAACTCATAACTTTATTTCTTCAAGCAAATGCTTAACAATTTCTTTTAGTTGCATGTCCTTTCAAGTGCACTCTCACTGTCAACATCTAAACTCATCCTCAGAGCAACTCTAATAAGTGCTTACTAGGTTATCCCAATTTACAGATGGAGAGAGGGACCACTGGGAGCATGTCACATTTGTTGAAGGGAATGTGACTGACTCTTGGTAGGCGGCAGAGACTCTGGCTCCGGATTCTGGTATCTGATTCTGCAGGCTTCCTTCCGCTCTCCTTTGGATCAGATGTGGGCATGATGAGTGTCCTGGGTACACTGAAAGCCTGTCAGAGTGACAGGCTTGGCCTAGCTGTTGGTTGGGAAGCCTCAGTCTCATTGACCTTCTCCCTCACTCAGGGACTGTTGACCTGAAAAGAACTGCCATGGCAAGCAGATGGTAGGCCTGGATTCCCAGCCCTAGAGGGCAGTGAGGTGAATGGGATGCAGTCATACTGAGGGGGCTCACTCACTCCTTCCATTTCCCCCCTCCCTCTTCTTCTCTCCCCTCTCCTCCTTCCATTTTAAGGCCAGACAAGCACTCTACCACTGAACTACACTCCCAATCCCCCTCCCTACTTTAAATCTTGGTACAGGGGCTCACTAAGCTTCTAAGATGGCCTTGAACTCAACCTTTAGCCGCTGCAGGACTTGAACCTGAAACCCTCCTTCCTCCGCCATTGGTGTAGCTAGATGAGAACACAGGTCTGCATTACCAGACCTGTCTCCGGTGTGGCTTTCCGGCTCCTCATATATAGTGCTTCCATCTCCACCATAACCCAGGATGGTTCCATTGACCTCCTTTGGATGCCGGTGAGAACCGGTGAGTGGAACTCCTATAGTACAGTATCTTCAACATTTGTTGAAGATTTGTTTTTCGAACACCATATGAAATTGTTTCCATGTTTATTTCATTTATTCTTCCCAATAATCCATCTGTTTAGAGATGGGACAGCTAAGGCTCAAGATGTTACAGTTGTCAAATGTCACATCGTTTTCAATAATGTCACTAGGCTGGGTCTTTGGATGTTTCTTAGTCCTGTGTACTTGCTGCAGGATCCCACTCTTGGTCCAGTCAATAGATGGAACTGTTACTATTAGGGACTGGAGCCAGCCCAGCAAGGCAGCTTTGCCCTGCTTAGTCTATCCCCGTGGGCTGGAACTTTCGATCTTGGAAATGTATTACTTATGGTATGGTATGGTTGAAATGGAGACTGGCACTGGATTGGGGGATGGCCATAGCACCAGGAAGAAGTTACTTTCTGTCCCTGAGCACCTGGGCTGGAGGCAGAGCCCTGGGCCACTTGTGCCTGCAGTACCCACTCTGACATCCTGATGGATGGGATTTGACAGTGTCCTCATTCCCTCCCAGCACAGGGAATCCAACCCCTGACCAGCTGGGGACTGAGTCCAGGTGAGCTACAGGCCTCAGGCAACAACAGATATTTTGTGCAAACAATGCCTCCTCCCCTGGGGCTCTATCTCTCTGGGCAGTACTCTGAAATAAATGACAGCATAGTGCTCAGAGCCAGTGGGACCCACAGGAGCAATCTGCCCAAGGCGGCCCTAGCTATGACCCCCAAGCCAGTCTAATCCAGCTGTGTCATGCTCACATCAACTCAGTGAGCTCTCTACAGAGCTGTGTAGGACCAAGGGAACTATTGGGAAACAGAGAATCTTTGACAGCCCACCTGTAATATTGAGCTGATAGAAGGCTGTCCTGGCTTTGGGTTCATTGCCTATTGTACTATCATAGATTACTCACTTCTTCCAAGGACTTACAAAAATCTGTTGGTGCAAGGGTATCACCTCAGAGACTGGCTAGTGTAACAGACTCATCAGGTGCCAAGAGGCACTGCTGTGTGAATTTGGGTACTCACAGTTTTGTGGGCTTCACCAGTAGATGAAGTACAAACAAGGGTCTACTCTTAGGAGACAGAGTCCTGTGTCAGGATATACTGTTTGAGGAACACAAAATAGGAGGCATCATCTTCTACTTAGCCCCTTGGGCAAGCCCCCCTGAAGTCTGAAGTATTAATAACAATATGCAGACACCTAATACAATCTCAGCCCAAAAAGAAGTGCAAAGCCTCAACATGGTGCATGAGTGATGTGATCACTGCAAATTTCAGTAGCTACAGGTCTCCCTTCCCCGCCATGTGATGGCTGTGATAGGTCCTCCCCATGTGATGGCTGTGATAGGTCCTCCCCATGTGATGGCTGTGATAGGTCCTCCCCATGTGATGGCTGTGATAGGTCCTCCCCATGTGATGGCTGTGATAGGTCCTCCCCATGTGATGGCTGTGATAGGTCCTCCCCATGTGATGGCTGTGATAGGTCCTCCCCATGTGATGGCTGTGATAGGTCCTCCCCATGTGATGGCTGTGATAGGTCCTCCCCATGTGATGGCTGTGATAGGTCCTCCCCATGTGATGGCTGTGATAGGTCCTCCCCATGTGATGGCTGTGATAGGTCCTTCTGGACTGGCTTGCTAATCTGAGTTCTCTTCAGTCTCTTCTGACTGGGAAGCTACCACTCATTTCATTGTTGTCATTGTAAAGGGAGCCTCCCCAGTGACTTTCTTTGACCTATTGGACTGGGGTAGGGCCTCCTCCTAGACTGTCACAACAGTCACTTGTCTATATAGTTGTCATTGATTATTTGTATATGTCACTCTTTTTTTTGCCTCAACTGCAAGTGCCATAGGGGCTGTGACTATTTTGTTTACTAGTGTATGCATGTGTATATGTCTAGCATCCAAACTATGCCTGCCACATGTAGATACTCAAAGTACATATTTGTTACATGATTGAAAGGGTCTCCTTTCTATGGGAAACTTGGGGGAAGATTAACAAATTCTTCCTAAAGGATGGCTTCCATGTAGGACAAAACCTACCACTGGCCCCTATGCTGTAGTGGCAACCCTCCGATGGGGTCCTGTGTTGAATGTGACTCTTGGTTCATTCTCCTTGTCCCCAAAGGATCTCGAGTCAAATGCCAAACTCTGTCATGCACACTCTCCATCTTTCTCTAGTCCCTTGCTTTTGTCTCCCTCCCCAGCATGGTCCTGGGAAAGAATGTTCTAGCTTCCAGTGCTCCAGGCTCAGAAAAACCAAACATCAGCACCATCTCGACTTTTATTTTTAACTGACAGTTGATCTTGCTCTTAGCGATTTATTTCCAGTGTAGTACTTTTTGAGCCAGTGCTAATTTGCTTGCCCAACTCTGCCCTCTGGGAGCTGTAAGTCTTAGGTAATATCTTCAACACAGAGATTTGTCTATCTGGCCCCTTTTTGTCGCCTGTGGAAAAGTGATAGGAACCACCTCCTCCCTGAATAGGATCAGGCCTGTAATTCCATTGACCTTCCTTGATTGTGATCCCTGGCTCAGCTCTTATCACTTTCAACTTCATCACCAATCTAACTTATATTATTACTGCTAATATACTCTGTACTTCATTTTTCCAAATAACATTTGTTGGGCACTGGCTTGGGTAAGTGCATGGTTCTAGAAGCTGGAAGGAAGAGTTAAATAGGGTCTGGAATCCAAGATAAGCAGACTTTTCCTTGACTCAAAGTCATAGTCAAGAAAGAAGAAAAAGATTATCTTTTGGTGTGTGTGTGTGTGTGTATGTGCAGGCTTGTGCATGAAGAGGTAAAGAGTCAATATTACATGTCTTCCTCTATCACTTCTCTACTTCATTATGTTGAAACAGAGTCTTTTACTCAAGCCAGAGATCCCAATTTCAACTAGACTGCCTGACAAGCAAGTCCCCAGAATTTGTCTCCACTCTCCAGTGTGGGGGTTACAGTTATATATCCCTGTACCCAACTTTTATGTGGGTACTGAGGACCCAAACTCAGGCTTTCATGCTTGTTTGCATAAAAAAAGCATTTTCTTCATGAAGCCATCTTCCCTGCCCCATGGGAAAAGATTTTAAGATGCATGTTTGCAAATACTATCTGGTCTTGAAAGGAGAGTCTGTGTTTCAACTTCTGCCCTTGCTCCTTGCCAAGGTGTCCCAGCTCCTCAGCCCAACTCATATGAATGAAACAAGAGGAGAATCCCAGACCTGCAAGCAAGTCCACCAGTAGCCCAGACACATCCTCCTAGAGAAGCAGGGAAGGAAGTATCTTTCAGCTCTGTCTAATTACAAGGTGTGTGATTGGGCCTCCCTCATGGTTAATTTGCTTTGTGCCTTTATCGCCAGCAGAAGACAGATGATTCACAGAGGGTATTCCATATAGACCTGCCAGTAATTGCCGTTATGACTTCATGAGCCTTTTATGGGCCTTGCTGGGAAAGGTGCTTTCTTTTTTCTTTTCCTTCTCCATCTTCAGACGGCAAGTAATCAACTTTTGGGGAGCAGGAGGAATGTCAAGTTCAGGGTCTAGGTAAGGCAATACCAACAATGGCCATCACTGACCATTAGCTCTGAGGCTGAGCCAAAGACACAGGACAAGAAGGAATGAAGACAAGGTGACTGGCCGAAGGGAACATAAAGTGTGTGGTCCCCAACAGTGATTAATAGACACATCATCAAAATTTTAAGATGAATAAATGTTTCTTTTCAGCAGATTTACTTTCTCAATGATGCTTGGCTGAGATTAATGATAATGGGAGTTTCTGTTTCCAAGTTCACACAGACTGCTCTGCTGGGAGAGTTGGGGTGAGGAGGTGGGTGTGGGTGGATAGGGAGGAAACATATGATGGCCCACAAGACTATTATATGAGAGAATGGCCACAAGAACACTACATTCGGTTATCATGTGGTTCCTATGCATGCAAGAACTAGATATTTGTTTAAATAGAAGAAGATTGTATTCTGTTCCAGTGAGGCCCTGGTGCTGGCTCATACCAGCTTGTGAAAACAAATTTGTTGAAATTTTTAGAAATTTGTTAGCTCCTTTACAGCGTGTCACTAAGATGAAAACAGCTGGCGTGGGATTTTTACACCATAGTCATGGGCAGACCCTACACTGCAGAGCGCCGCCCTCACCCCTGGCTGGTCGATAAGCATTCTTTGGCATATCGTTATAGCCATTCATATAGTGTTCCAATGGGATTGAAGGACCATTTAACAGGACAAATAGAATTTTGTTAATCATTCACTACATACGAAGGACTGTCCAGGCATTTTTGTTCTACTTTTACCTCCTCCTAATTCAGTTCTAGAGCCCAACACCATATGCAGAATGTGGCACATTAGAGCCACATGGGATATTAGCTAATATCCACATACCCTTTTTTAGAGATAAGAAAACTTGAGAGCCAGAGATGGGAGACAGCTTGGCTGAGGTCAGAGACCTGGGGTTAGCAGCCCCTGACAGGTCTTTTGCATCCCCAAAAGTGTCTGACCTCCACCCTTTGCTGTTTGGGTATACTGTTCTATACCATACCTCACCTAGAGGCAGGCAGGAGCTGAACACAAAGAAGAGAGTTCCCAGCCCAAGTGTGTGGAGTGAGCCTGGGGCGTGGCTGCATGCTCTCTTCCCCGGGGTGCTTCTGGCTGTGTGATTGGGATTTGACTGTTCCCTGGTGCTCAAGCTCCATGCAGAGTCTGGACTCCTTCTACTCTGCCATTGTCTGAGGATCCCACTGGAAGCAATTCAGGCTTCATTCAGCAGCAGCCATTTGGAATAACAAGAAAAAATAAATAAAACTAAAAACCCAAACCCGAGCTCAGGAACCTCGATGAAGCGGGGAGGGGCAGCTAGCTGGACTGAAACAAGCACAGCCAAATCATTAACCCAGAGAGTTCATAGCTGGCTGCAAGGGGGTGCAGGGTGAACCCATCCTGGACCAGGCTTAGGGAAACAGCTCTACCCAGGAGCCGAGGCTCGAAGTTTGCTTTGATGATTGCTTTTGGTGTGGAAAAAGGGGGTTTGAGTTAAGAAAGAGGCTCCAGATGAAAATCCCCTCAACTCTTAAATATATAGGTATATTCTAATGTAGACAGTGGTCTAATACGGTAAACAGTTCAGTGTAGACTATAGGATCAGACAGTCCCAAGGCTGAAGAGGCCTGCCAGATGCTTTCTCCGCTCCAGGCATCAGTTGGATGGTGTCCTCAAGACAGGTGGTGGGCGCAGGGCCAGTCCCCTGCCTCCTGGCATCAGTAAAGTCACCTCTTAAGACTGAGTTTTCTGTTCAGCTAAGGGAGAGTTTTTCAGACCTTGTGATCCTTTCTAACTCTGACTTCTTAGACCCTAAAGGGAGCATTACACACACACACACATACACACACACACACACACACACACACAAACACACATACATACACACACACTAATAAACAGGGAAAGCTTTCAAAAATCTCATTCAAGTTGTTTCTGGATTTGTCTATTAGTGAGATTTGTTTCTTTGTATGTGCTAATTGGTCTTGGCATTAATTAATCTGATTTCATTATATTCCCTTTAATTTGTCAAGATATCATTTCGTTATTGGGTGACGGAACACTTTGGAGGATTGTTAGATTCGGAATGTATTTTTTTCCCCGTCTTTGAAAGTTCCTGGAGAAAAGTCGTTATCAATTAAGTTAATTTGCATACACATTAGGTTAATCGTTTTAGTTTAGCCAAATTTGTGAAAATTTACATAGCAAATTGACCCTCCACATTTCACTTAAACATATGTAGCACACAGCATAGTACATTTTGAGTTGCTAATGAAACTGAGGTTATTTTACACGCTTCTTTTAGTAAAAGAGGTCTAATTAGACCAAGTAATTTTTTATTTCATCCGTAATTGCAAAACAAATAAGCTTCTCTGCATTTTTTTTCCTCCTAGCGTCGGCATCACACGGACAGGGACGTTAATAGGGAAGTCATGTTTTCCTAATTAAGCCCGGTTTGATTCCTGCTCACTGTTGCGACGTCAGCCTTCTGAGCTTCCTCCTAGGTAGGTGATCCTCTGCCAGAAGCTCGAAGCCTCCTGGTATACCTATTAATAGAAGACTCCCCCACATGGAGCCAACTGAATTAAAAAATGTAACTAGAAAAGCAGGGTGGGAATTCTGACAGATTTTTTTTTAATATACCAGAGAAGAGAAAGTTGAATTGAAACTGGGGGTCTTGTTTCTTTCCATCAGGGGAAGAAAGGAGAGAAAAATAGCTTTTGTTCTCCCCCAGAAAAGAAGTTGGCGTAACACATTGGTGGTGTTTCCAAAGTGACTCCAGGGGCTAGCTCATTCAGTGCCGGAAAACTGGCTGCGGTCCCTGCTCCAGGACTGCCGAGCGGCAGAAAGCGTCTGGTATTTTGGGTTGATCATGAAATCTCAGATCTGGGATCTGAGTATTTGCTGGAGGGAGATGGAGGGGAACCTCTTGGGGGGTGTGGGTGTCAATGATAAAGATACATGGGGGGAATGCTGGTAGAGCCCAGTGGAAGCTACACTTTTACCAATTCTCTTGACTGCATCAAGAAGACCTTGACCATTGCTGTGTTAGCTTTGTGCTTTTCTTCTGGCACTTCTGATTTTACTGAGTTGTCAAGGATAAAGGACTAGAGTAGAGAAAGGCTGGGTGGTAGAAGGACCCAGCAGGGGCTCTGTGCCTTGTATATGGAGTCAGGAGACACGGGTTCCAGCTCTGGCTCACGGCCACAGTTATTCATATGGCTATGCATATCATCAGGGGCCTGAGTATATAAGTATACACTCATCCTCTTTGAAGCTGGGCTGTTCTGTGACTTGTTCAGGCCAACAGAATACCCTGTGATGTGTTAGTTCCAAACCTAGTCCTCAAAGGCCCACCTACTTCTATTCACATTGTCGGAATCCTGCTGCCCTCCAGACCAGCCTGCTGGATGATATAGTGGGAAACACATGGTCCAATTGTCCCTAATGCCTAATTGACAGCCAGTTGAACCCTAGAAGCAGACCCACCTCGCTGACCTGCAGGTGGCCACAAATTGCACGAGGGATCCCAGCTGAGCTCAGGCTGAATTCCCAATCTATAGATCGTGAGCTAAATAAATGGAGTTGCTTTTAGGTGCTGAGCTCTGGAGTTATTCACTAAGCAGCAGTATCTAACTGGATCAGTCATTACCCAGTCAGGTGTCCTTGGGAAATCCTCTCTGGGTCCCAGCTCTAGCCTCCTCACCTGAAGAACCAGTTAGCATCCATGTGTCTGAGTTTCCTTCCAGCTTCATAAGGTTCCCAATTGCCATCTTGTTTAATCAAGAGAGCGGACATTTTCCCATAAAGGACACCAGGCAGGGCTTGGTAGGCAGCCACAGGGCACACAAAAGGAAGAGTTTATTGGCTCCTCTAGATGCAGAGGAGAACATACTCGAAAGAAGGGGCAAGAGTGTCTCTGTCTTGGGGCAGAGAAGAGGAGTGGGAAACTGATGGTTTCTACCATGGGATGTGATGAGGAGAGTGGGCATGGGTTCTCATGTGAGCTTTGTGGAGATAGAGTTACTGAAAGCCAGCAGAAAAGTGAACTTCATCAAGGTAGGACACAGCCGGCAGGAACCCCCAAAGGATAATAGCCACTGGAAATGTGGTCAGGGGTGTTTAACGGACTTTGTCAACTTTGTTTCAACACCATACATGCAATTATGTATGGTATTTATGACCTCACATACAATGCCTGCAGTGAGCTCTTAACCTCTTTTTACCAGTCAAGAATATGCTAAAAGTCACCCACTGACAAATAGAAAACATGCATACTGTGCAATATTATCTGCCCTTAAAAAAGACAGAAATGTTGAAAAGGATTGCAAACACGCTAAGTGAAAGACATCAGGACACAAAAGATCACATACTATGTGAATCCATTCATATGAAAGTCCAGGATAGGGGATTGCATAGAAATATAAAGTAGATTCATAGTTGCCCACACCTCGGATTGGGGCATGGTAGCTAATCTATGTGGAGTTTCTTTTTGGGTGATGAAATGTTCCCAAACTTTAAAATTTGATGGTTATATAAACATTAAAGTAATTGAATTATAATGTTTAGCATATGAATTACATCTCAGTAAAGCTTTGACAGCACAATTAGGAGAGCAGTGGTTAAGAGCAAGAGGTGTGGTCTCAGTTTCCACAATCTCCCTGATGCTTGTGAAAAAAACCAGTGATGATCAACTCTTCTTTACAGCAAAAAGAATTCGACAAATGATTTGTAGACATTAACCTTTTTGTTGGTATCTTCATTTTGACATAGGGTCTCTAATAGCCTAGGCTGGCCTCAAATTTACTTTGTAGCAGAGGCTGGCTACAAACTACTAATCTTCTGGCCTCTGCATCCCAGGGATGAGCTAACCACTGTACATCACCAAGTTCAGGTGCAAAGTTTAGCATGTTGTTTTTTTTGCAACATGTTACTTCTGCCAACACCTGTGTGATGGGATTCTTCTAGAAACATCAATGGAGTTCCTGCTATAGGGCTCAGCTAATGGGTTGGAATCCTGGTGTTGTCACAAACTAAACACGAGTCTGAGCACACCTGCTACCTTGGGTTTCTGAGGACAAATGTGGTCCCAAAGTGTTTCTGCCAGGCCCATGCTCATGTGTGGCCTGGCCCCACCATCTCTGCTGGCTGTGTTCTTCTTCTACTCAGAAAGCATCTGTCACGTCTCTCATTTCTCTCTCAGGTTCCCTGAAGCTAACCCAGAGAGGGGTAGACAGCCACTTGAACACAGACATACGTGTCAAGAGCTTGAGCCCGAGACATCGCCCTTGACTCGGAAGTCTAGGTGCATCCCTGTGAGGAGGGAGTAACACTGAGCTGTGGGTTGAGCTGGGAGCTGTGTGTGACTAGGAACAAGGAGACATGCTCATTTATCCATCTGAGGATGAGTTTTGTTTTGACGTTCTATCCTGTTCTCTTCCAGCCCTCACCCACTGCTTGGTTGCGTTCTTTCTCCCCTGGCCCTTCGCCTACCCTGGTATATCTTGGTGCTGGCGCCACCAGATTTCATATACTCACTGTATCTATTTTCTATAACTGTCTGCCTTGTGGACGGACAGGGCTCCGCATTCGCCTTTGTATCCACTCGCTGCCTCGCAGGCTACCTTGAGTACATATTCCTAGTGAGTGAGGAATTTCTGAATAAAGGGGATTCATGCTACCATGGTATAGCCCTCTCTGTGTGAACGCAGAGCTGGCCTGAGGTGGCAGAATCCTGTGTGAGGGTAACACCTGTGAGTAGACATATAGCAAGAGGGAGTGGATGCCGTGTGGCTGGTGGAGAACTCTCCCCCTCTGCTAAGGCGTTTGACATTCACGTGTGCATCTTTTTAAAACCCTGCTAGCCAAGCAAGCTTGTCTGAGACTGTGTGCTTCCTGCTACAGGCGGAACCTCCACCCTCCAACTCTAGGCAAAGGTGGCATTGTCTAAAATTTTCCATTAACAGCAAGGTCAGTAGGATAGGGTGAACATGGACTTGGCAGATCAGAGCATTGGCCTTGCCTCTCCCATGACAAGCTGTGAGAACCCCAGAAACGGCATTTCAGGTATTTGCACCTGAGTTTTCACAGAAGTGAAATGAGAGCACGAATGACAAGATGAAGCAGGTTAAGAAGGTAGAAGTTACCAGAGGAAGCAAACATGAGGGTTCATTGTAGGACCTGCCCTTGCATCATTGAGGACCAGTCGGGGTAGGGTGTCATTGCCTATTCCCATGGGACCTTGCCACCTGTCCCTCTGTTGATGATCTAGGAACCAAGTAGAAAACATCTTTTCTGAATGAGGCTGACAGTTCACCAGGCATGAAAACCTACCCAGTTGTGACTCAGAGTTTTGGAGGCACAGATAGAATTAAGGAAATGTTAATGTATTCCTATGGTTTTGCCTCCTGCCTACACAGGCAGAAACAGCAAGGAGGGAGGCTGGAGTGGAAGAGGGGACCAGGAGACAGGGAGATGAGCTGATGGGCTCTGGGGGGGGGCGGGAGGATGGGTGGGGACTGTGGAGTCTCAAGGCTGCCTGCCTGCCGCAGCTGGGCCTGGGAACCCCAGGGGACAGGGAGGGATGTGCTGGCATCTGGTCTCTGCCAAGTGAGTCTGCCGCCCAGAATGTACTATCAGCTTGGTCACAGGGCTAGAACAAGCAGGGACCCTGGGGTGCATGTGTGCCCACGTGGGAAACTGCAGAGGTAGGGGAATATGAGCCAGATAACCCAAAGCTGTCTATTTTAGCCTTGGTGATGTGGCTTGTCAGTGGCAAACAGCCACTTAGAATCAATGTCTTTCCCAAACGAGGTCCCTCAATATTGTATGCTTAATATGCTCTGTCTATCTGTGCGTTTACTCAGAGAGCTGCCTCCCCAGGGCACAGCAACCAGTATGCTACCTCAGCATGGAATAATTCCCCTGGGAGGCTGCCTCCTTTCCCTCCTTCCTGCAGGGCCTCTAGGACTGAGCCCCGAGGGGCTGGGATGACTGGCTGCCAGTTTGACGGGTGTATGTGGCGGTACCTTGAATCACTGCTGCTGTTACTTCTCTTTTTGTCACTGAATGCAGTATCTGTTGCAGCATTTGCACAGCACCAGCCAGTTTGTCAAGATGGAGACCCAAAATGGAGACCCTATAGGTAAAGGGTGATTATTCTCATCCCTCAGGTTCACTTGCAATCGAGGTCTGTGACCCTTCCCTCAGGTCCCTTCTCCAGTCCCTTTGGGATGTGGGAGGTACTCAGTAAATGTCTTGATAGAAAAAGATGCTGATAATAATAGCCAATCAAGATTCAGGGATGGTATCTGTTGAATTCAATTTCAGGGTGACAACTGTTCCCTTGAACACAGCTGGGAATGCATGCTGCTTGAAGTTTTGGGAATGGAGGCTGCAAGGCTGGCTTCCTGGCAGGTATGCATGTGGGTGGCACTGGGGACACTGAGTAAGGTTTGCTTTAAGGAGACTCTTTTATTCTCCCTCTTGTCTGATACCCCTGGGTTCATCCCACGTGTCACATAAGGGCTTAGTACAGAGTTGGTGTATCCCTGCTTTTCTTGTTGCTGTGGTCAAAGACCCACTGAGAAGCTGCATAAGGAAGGATGTGTTTATTTTGTTTTCAACGTGATGGCGTGTAATCTTCCATGGTGGAAAGTCATGGGGAGGGAGTGCTAGGTGGATGGTCACATCACATCTACAGACAAGAAGTGGAGTATAGACCAGAAGGAGAGCCAAGCTATCTAAGCTCAAGGCTTTCCCCTAGTAACCCACTTCTCCAGGGAGGCTTCACTTACTCAAGGTTCCATAGCCTCCTAAAACAGCGCCACTAGCTGGGGACCAAATGTGTCTCTGTGCCAGACATTTTACATTCAAATCACTTATAGTCAGTGATTCTACAAAAGGAGAGAAAAAGTCAGTGAGACAGTTGGAAGCCTGGGTGAGGAGGCCCAGCCAGGAGCAAGCATCAGGCAGGACTTTGAGGATCGGGAGGGGTGGGGCGGGGGTAGAATGGATGTTCTCCTCTGCTTCGGTGGGCTGGAAAGCCTTTTGAACATGACTTGCCAGGAAAAGTAATGGCTGTCTCCTGCTTCCTTTGCCCACTCCTCCCCTTCTCAGGTCTTGAATGTTTTAAATGCCAGTCTTCATGGTTTGATGGAGAATTTTACACTAATGCAGAGTATTACCTAGTTAATTTGACTAGAATAGATTGTGATTTTACACGGTGAAGCTGTGGCCTCCTGAGTTAACAGTTCCATTATCGTGGACTGGGCAGCCTACTCTCCTGGAACCCGAGAGCTCAGAGTATCAGGAAATGGGATTCTGAGAACACTCGGGGAGGCTGAAGAACAAGGGGTGTGGGGGGGTGTAGGGACCAGGAAAGCATCCATTCTTCAGCCATCCATTACTTATTCATGTTCTTTATGTCATTTATCATTTCTTAAGCTCACTCACTTCATTATTTCACCCAATAAGTGTCTATCATGGGTCCAAGAGATGCCAGACCCAGTGCTGGATCCTAGGTGACAAGATGCTTAAGCTTCAGAGGTTGGTCCCTGCCAGGGAAGAATTGCAAACAGCCAAGCAAACCACAGTGAGCCAAACGTGATTGCAAAGCACCACTAATGGACCACAGAGGAGGGTCTAGTTACATAAGAGGATACAGTGGCCTCTGGGAGGGACCTGACTGACCCCTCAAGGATACCCAGAGGGGTAACAACTCTATACAAAGAAATTGTAATTTACCATCATCCTAAAGAGATGTAGGGAAGGGCTCTGCTTTTGCTGCCCCTCCCACTTCCCGTGCTCAACACTCTAGTCAACGGAGGGAGAGAGAGAAGCAAAGCATGTCTTATCTTGAGGGCTTTTTCTCTCCCTTCCAAAGCCAGGTGAAGCAGTGGGACTCTGAGGAGATTATTTATGGGGATCAGGAATGCCTTTGAGAAGGAAGGGTGACATCTCACTTCAGAGCCAAACAAAACACTCCTGTGACTACAGTTGAGGATAGTGTAGGGTTTGCGGGGGGAGGGGAGCCTGGCTTGTGTCTTTTGCTTGCTTCTTCCTTGGCAGTTTCCAAATGGGAGAAAGGGTGATGGGCAAAGACTTGTAAAAACAACTTGACCTACGGTAACAGAATGTAGTGAGTCTGGAAAGAGAGAGTACAGCAATGCCCTTCAATCCCGATTTCCTCCAGTTCTGGGTACCACAGATAACCCAGACTTCTGCTGAATCTGAAACAGCAAAAGAACAGAATGTGAGGAACAGCTTGGGGCTGTCCAGCAGAGCACATATAAACAGGAAATCTCTCTGTTTAAGGGGCTGGAGGTAGACTTAGGCAAGGGGCTCAGGCGGCTGTGGCTGACCTATGATGACATTATCCTCAGTGTCACATAGGACAAGAGCAGCTGGACACATATTTAAGACCATCTATCATATGTATCTCATTCACAGAGATTGTCACATGGGTAGTGTGCTACCTTCAGGACGTGGAACCAGGCTAGGCCCACTGGAGGCTTCTGCGGGTGACTGAGCCGTCTTTTACCTACAACGACTCCAGCTGTCTCCCATTCTTGCCCTTTCAACCAGAGGATCCAGAGCCAAGAAAGTGATGAGAAGGCGATGAGAAACTGAAAGTTGCCTGCCTGTGAGGTTGTAATAAGGGTTCTCAAAGACGTACAGCTAGAAAAATCTATTTCTAAGTCCCACTGAATATAAGCTGTGCTAGTCACTTTTTCATTGCCATGACAAATATCTACGAGAAACTTTGTAAACATAGGAGAGCTTTGCTTTGGCTCACAGAGTCAGAGATTTCAACCCTTGTCCGGCCTGTTCTACTGCTGTCTGTGGTCCTGTGGTAACACAGAGCAATATGGTGGCAAGAACATACGATGGAGAAAGTTGTTCACTTCCTTGTAGCCAGGAAACGGAGAGAGACAGCAAAGAGCCTGGGATGAGACAACACTTAAATCTGTGATTCTCAGCCTGTGAGTCGTGACACCTTGGGAGGGGGCATCGAACGATCCTCTCACAGATATTTATACTGCGCGTCATAACAGTGGCAAAATTACACTTATGAAGTAGCAATGAAAACAATTTTATGGTTGGGAGGAACATGAGGAACTGTATTAAAGGGTTCCAGCATTAGGAAGGTTGAGAACCACTGACTTAAAGGAATAATACCCTTAATGACCCAGTAATCCCTTCAACTAGGCCCTACTTCCCACCATCTCCTAATAATGCCATTGTGAATCTATGAGCAGATGAACCCATTGATAAGGTCATAGCCCTCATGATCCAATTACCACTCGGCGGTTGAAGCCACTATCTAGGGACTAAGCCTGCAGCCCACACCATGTGTGGGCATGTTTCATATTCAGATCATAACAAACTATTTCATAATCAAACCTCTTGGAGAAAAGGGGCCGGGCATTGCAGGCAGAGGTGACTACATGAACAGGGCCACTGAATGTCATGGCCCTATGGCGGACAGGTGTGGGTAGACTGTGAAGGTGGGGTTACAGATGTATGCAGCTGAGGAAGGTGGGTATAAGCGACAACACATACTTTCAGGGAGGTCTGGGAGCACTTCCCAGGAATGTTCTTATGTGGGCGTGGGGAGAATTAATGTGGCTCCTGTATTTTATAGGAAGCTCCCAGGGTTCCCACACTTCCCATGAATACATCCATCAATGCACCCATAGATACTTCTGCTTGAAGCATGGACTTGGATCTATAACACAAACACCCACTCTCAGAAGCATTGTTCGGACCCCAGGGAAAAGCTTCTCCAGAGCCGGGCGGTGATGGCGCACGCCTTTAATTCCAGCACTCAGGAGGCAGAGGCAGGCAGATCTCTGTGAGTTCGAGGCCGGGCTGGACCGACAGCCTCCAAAACAATACAGAGAAACCCTGTCTCGTAAAAACCAAAAAAAAAAAAAAAAAAAAAGCTTCTCCATGTCTCTTTCCCTAAGTTCAGGAGACAGAAGTTTGTTGAGCTGGAAATGCCATGAAGGTTTGTGGGTTATGCCACTGCCCACATCAAGGACACTGTGCTTTGGAGTGGGTAGTGGGGGACTGGTGATTTAAGCAGTGGAAATGCTTAGATATAAGGCCAATTAATTAACTTGTCAAATCCTTCTTCTTGGAGCGGGTGCAGTGGATTCTCTCGTAATGAAGTATCCACGGCTCTGAGCATCCATTTTCTTGTTTTCTTTGTGTTCAAATTCAGAGTTCTGGAAGTACTAACTAATTAGCATGATATTTGCAGTAGCTGAGTGTAAAAACTGAGAAACATTTTGCAATATTAAACAACCCATATCTCTCTTAAGGTTGTATAGATCTAGTCCTCCTTCAGTATTTTCAGCGGATGGTTCCAGAACCCCCCACAGATATCCAAACCCACAGATGCTCAAATCGCAGTTAAAAATTTTCATAGTGTTTGCATGTAAGCTACACACATTTCCTGTATACTTCAAATCATATTTAGATTACTGATGCTTCTTAGCACAACATGCACAATATATGTAAATACTCATTACATTGTATTATTCAGGGATCGATGACTGTACAAGCTCAGTGCAGATGCAAGCTTTTCAAGAAATACTTTCAATGTGAGATTGGTTGACTCCACAGATGCAGAAGCCATGGATGTGGAGGGCTGACAGCATAGGGGTCTAGATCTAGCATGCTTAATGAGTGATGCAGACGCAGTGACTGGAAACAGTGGTGGAAACTAGCTACTTATGTTTGCAGAAGGGATAATTTATTGGAGGTGACCACATTGTACCGTTTAAAAGTAAGCAAAAATCAGTGCTGTCTTCCGAACACTTAGAAGTATGGCTTGAAAACCTTTATTGTCACTCCTTATTTCTATAGCTGCAGCATAGAATATTCTCCAAATTGAAATTAGTAGGTAAAAAAATTAAGAAACACAATGACTCAAGAGATGGCATCAGTGTTGGCATTACTTGTAACAGGACAATTATTGGATAAATACCTTGATTATAGCAGCACAATTAGGGGTTCTGTTTAAATAGAAGCAAGAAAAATAATTTTGGAGTAAATGTATATAATCGTTTTTTTAATGGTTTAATCTTTGTTTTCTCATTCATCCAATCATGATTAGCACTCAGAGAGATGTGTGCAAAGATACATTCATCTGTCTTTGATATTTGCTGAATTTCATTCATTAAAATGACCCATGGCTGACACATTTAGATTTCATCATCATGAAGATGCTTTTTGCTAAGGTGAGAAGAAGTTTTGGCCCATTTTGGCTGCTACAGTAAAACACCACAAATGGAGTAAGTTACAAAGCCGAAATTTACTTCCTACAGTTTTGGAAGCTGGGAAATCCAAGGCCAAGGGCTGCCAAACTGGTGAAGACTGCATCTGTAGGCAGAGCCTTCTCATTGTGTCCTCAGGCAGTGAAAGGAGGAAGGAAGCTGTCTGGGACGCCTCCAGAAGGACAATGATCCCAACCTGAGGGCTTCACTCTCATGACTGAATCAACTCCCGATGGCTCAACCTGCCAATACCATCTTGTTAGGGGTTAAGATTTCAATACATGAATTTGGAGGGGTATACAAATTTCCAATTTATAGCAGAGGCTGAATCATTTTATCAAATGATGTTTAGATGTGTGGCTTCTCTTGGCTTCCTTGTTCTGAGCTATGTCAGCATTGGAGTTGACAAGCTCTGTTGACAACCTGCTACAGTCTTGGTCAACCCCTCAGCCTCAGCCTCCAAAGTCACATTGTAGCCTTTGGTGACCAGGAGTGATGCTAAGGCACTGGTGAAGGATTTAGGACCTCCATAGGCATAGCCATCGGGACTTAAGGATGTTCTGGGGGTTGAACTTAGGGCTTCAAGAATGCCCGGCAAATGCTCTACAGCTGAGCAATATCACTAGATTCATTGCTCCCTCATTCTATAAGGAAAGAAACTAAATTGCAAAAGGCAGAGCATCCAGCTAGGGGCACAAAGCTACTGAGGCATTTGGATGCCCTGGAAGGGGGATTGTGGGCCAAAGGAAGGACAGGAGGGTGTGTGCGGAACGCGGGCACCCAGGCACCTGTGCTGCAGCAGATCCCAAGTCTTACGCACTCTCTAGTTGGTAGCATCCAGCAGAGTGGACACAAAGGAGAGAATGAAGAGGGCCCCGCATGTGCCCCGTGGGCTGTGGTTCCACCATTTCTTCCAACACTCTCCCCAATCCCCCAACATTGTAGAGCAAACAGCATAGACAGAATGCTCCGGAAGACAACTCCCAGTCCCGCTGCCCTATGTCTGAGAGATTCCCCAGAGGCTGCAGGTTTGTGGAACCCCAAGGGCTGCTTTTGGCCTCAATCCACATTTCTCCTTTATTTCTGAAACCACGTGCTGTTGCTGGAACACTGACTCCATCTGGTCCTGATTCGCTTCCTCCTGATTTTGTTCCCTGCTGGAAAGCACCGCATCCTGCCCGAGGCACCTCGGGGAGCTGCTCTCCCTGGTTTTTCTCCCCTGAGGCTGAACGAATCAAGCATTGCCAACAGCTCCCTTCCTTCTGTCCCAGCAATCTACAGTCTGGACGAGCAGGCTTGTGTCTTCTCTCCTTAGCGAGCTGGGAGACATCCTTAGGAAGGTGGCTTTCACTTCTCCCAGTGACCAATTTGGCTTCCATCTTGCTCTTTCTTCACAGTGGTATCTTCTGTCCCAAGCTCTTAGTACCCTTTTTCCTTCCTTCCTTCCTTCCTTCCTTCCTTCCTTCCTTCCTTCCTTCCTTCCTTCCTTCCTTCCTTCCTTCCTTCCTTCCTTCGCTCCCTCCCTCCCTCTTTTTCTCTCTCTTTCTACTCTCAGCTGTATCTCTAATCTGTTCTGTTTAGCCTATGACTTTCTCTGGAATGTTTCCTTATCTGTCAAATGGGCGTAGTTTTTACCTGATGAAAATAACAGCATGTTGGAAACACCGATCACTAGTGTCTCATAGTCTTTTGAGGATGGGCTTTGGCAATGGAACCTAGGGCATCTCACACAAGGCAAGTGTTTTACTGACCTGAGGCCCAGCCTTCTTTTTACTTTTTATTTTGAGACTGGCTCTCACTAAGTTTTTCAGACTGACCTTGAGCTCAGGTAAGCCTTGAACTAGGGATTCTGCAACTTCAGCCATATGACTACCTAGAGTTACAAGCCTGTGGCATCATGTCAGATTTGATGCTTCGTAGTCTTTGATTTAATGAGTCTTTGTGATGTGCCTAAATTTAGATTCTTAGTTATTTGTCCAGGTTTTATTAATAGAGCTCCACCTTTCCCAATGCCTAGGTGAGGGAAGCAGGTGCCCATCTCACACACCTGTGGAAGTTGCTCTCCTCAAGAGACTGGAGGATGTATGAGGAGTTCAGTTTTGTCACCTACTTGTGATTCGTATGTCCCATCCCTGTCTCAGTTCTAGAAGCCCCTCCTGATGTCTCACCTTCTGCCCGCATTTGCTGTGAGCCCAGATTTCCCCAGCAGATAGTCAAAGGCTTTCTTCCTAAGACACTAATAGTACAAATAATGTCACAAGTTGAAGCAGAAGTATTAAACTACACAAATTTAGGGATGTCCTATGATATTTATTGAAAGAGAAATCACTTACGTGGAAAGCCAAGAAAGCTGAGAACCAAGGGTCCTGGCACTGCTCTCCAGGTCAAAACTGAAACCCAAAGATAAAGAGTCTCCTCCCCCTTGCTCTATTTACCCATAAGTTCTGCTTACCCGTGAACACACCCACCTGGGAGTGGTCAGTGCTTAAGGATACTTAAAATCACTCCCTACAACAAGTGACAATTTTTCCAGGATTTTGAGAGCAGAGGGGGATCATAAGTCTGAGAAAAGAAAAAAGTATTGGATACCATATGCCACTG